AGCGGGACCGGCGGAAAATCAATGAATGAATAGACTCGCCCTACTGCGTCATTCCGCAATTCGGTAATTGTAGAATTTTCGTGGTTATTTTATGGCCAACATTTTTAGGATACCTCTTTTTCTAGAGTGTCAAGCATTGTGTGACATCGTTCCCCACTCTAAGTCGAGAACAAGCTCACGAACGTAACACGAGCGCGTTAAAAAGAAAACCAAGATCGTCGGCACTATTATCAGAATAAGTAGCATGCCTGATGCGTGAAGAGGAATGTCGTTAGGTGATTTACGAAACGGCGATTTCCTCATTCAGATGGCGTGTAAACACCAATGTGCAGATGGCTAATGTCATCTGTTCGATAGGATTATATGTAGTTGTTGTCTGTAATTGCATTTTATCTGAAGGAGGTTTGTGAAATTTTACTTTGCTATAAAAAGGGAATGATGTGATATGTATGCAGGTTTTTCTTTGCATGAGCGTACGGGAAATTATAATATTGTCCATATTGATGAGACGTATGACACCACTGATGATATAGTCCATCGAATATCCTTCACTGCATTCGGTAATAATTTCTTCAGTAATTTCTTAAACGTATAGATTTTTAAATACATGTCGTAAAATGCTTAATATATTTCCTTGTTTTACCCACTTCTCTCTACAGACCGTCTCTATGTTGCCGTATTAACACCTAGCACTGACATTTTCGATCCTTATGGCCTGATTAAGATTGGTGACAACATCGCTGTTCCTTTCGAACGTGCACATCATTACCGTGGACACCTAAGAGGTAATAGTGTTGCGTAAAAGCTATGATTCCTGTAATATGTAAAAAGAGTGGGCTATTCAGGAAACCCTTATCATACCGTTGTTCTTTCGCGACTTTCGCCTTCTGTTTTTGTTGGCTCAATCTCCGCTGGAAATGATTCCATTTATCTTGAACCAGCTGCACCTCACGTTGGTACTGCTGGTGACAAGTAATATACGCTGTTGTTTCTGCACTCTGTACTTTCCATGGAATTTTTGTTGTAGGGATGTAATAGTGTTTCGAACCAATAGTCTCAATAGCTCGTTGTTCTTTCATGGTCTTAGCAAGGATGAAGTTTTGGCTCCTCTGCAGGTATATAGATCCATTCGTCTGTCTGGCATCACTCAGCTCGACATAAATTTACTTTTGTAAAAAATGGACTCAAGTAATGATTCATGTCTTGCCCACTCCTTATTTTATATGCATGAGACTAAAAAAATTCTCCTCTATAGCGCATTTATTATCGTTGATCCTTGCGTTTGTCTCTAGTGTCGCTCTTGTGCAAGAACTTTTTTAGAGAATTTCTGCGACTTCACACGGGTTCGCATCTCGTGCGCGTAGACAAATAATCCCTACTGAAAATGAAGTGCGCAATCGTTGTCCGCTAAAGATTGTTGCTGATTACAAATTCTTCTCTATTGTTGGCAAGAACAACACAGCTTTGACGACTCGATATATTGTGAGTTCGTTTCGTGGCTGATGTTCCAAGACAATTTTATAACAGCTCGGACCAATGTTTATTATCTGTAGGTTAATATGGTAGCGCGAGTGAATGAGATTTATACAGTTGTAAATTGGGACGAAGGGCAGGAAGAGACTGAAGTTGAGCGGGGACGGTATGTGAAAATTTTTTTTTTCCTATATCGATTCTCTAATACTTCCAGGTTTGCAA